TGAACCCATCTGGGAACCGAGACAGTGAAGTTTGAAAAGAGGCATGCGAGCGCTGCTTTCCCTGAACTTTGCTTGTGACTTAGGGGAGGTGAGGGTGGCCTGCCTTTGCACATTCTTCCTGCTTCCACCCTCCTGAATTCAGGATTCTGTGAATCAGTGAGCTCCAGATTTTGGCCTTCCCTTCAACCTCTGCAGCGCTGTCAGTTCCTCAGCTGGGCTTTTCCTAGTTTTGCCCTTTACTTGAGATTATTCACTGTATTGATGAGTTTTGCGTTTTAAATTGAAATGCTCTGTCATTAGGGAGGATTTATTGATAATATATATGAGGATCTAATGCTAAGTTTAAAAAGAAAAAATATGAGACTGTTAATTTATAATTTCTTTATTAAAGATTTTACAGAAAACGGAAAGTTTTTCAAAAACTAATCGTCAGAAGTCTACAAAAGGCCAGGTAAACTGTTTTTTTTATCATTTTACATGCCCAATATTAGAGAAAGATAAGTAGGAAAACATTTAAGACTACTATACCTGATCAATATTCAAACTGATGTGTCTTTTAAAATTTAAGGTTTTACGTAAGAAGAAGGAAAAGGCTGTAGGCACTCTTGACACTGCTGAGAAGACTGTGGATAGCCAGGTAAAGTTGTCTCCAATATTCCGGACACCAGGTATTATACAGATAATCTGAAGAAAGAAAGGCAGTTTCTGCTACTCTGATTTTAAGATTTCAAATTGAATATTGTCACATTTGGTAGATCTTTATTGTCGATTTAGCAATTTTCTATGTAACACCTTATAATGGAACATGCCATGTTCCAATTAATTGTGAATTTCTGTACTAAGTTAGATAAGCATCTGAGTTCTTTATTTCTTACAATAGTATCACCAAAAGATTGAAACAGGCCTAAAATAATGGGGTACCACCTGTAAAAATAGAAGAGAGGTGATATTTTGGGTACAGTCATAATCTTGTTCTACATTTATGTATTATAATCTTTACTCGTTGAATCCAGGGCCCCACACCAGTTTGTACACCAACATTTTTGGAGAGAGGAAAATCTGAAGTGACAGAAATGAATGAAGATGATAAAGATAATGAAATAGTTTCCAAACAGCCCGTGTCCTGTGTAAAAGAAGAAATACAGAGGACTCAAACACTACACATTCACGGAAGAAAAGATGAAGAAAAAGCAATCAGTCATTTTTAATGTATTGTATTTTCTGAGACATACAATATTTTTATCGGGGTGGACTTACTATTTTACTATGTACAGTGAAATGTAACCCTTGACAGGATTGTCAGAGGAAAAATACACTGTTTGGTCCAGTTAAGGAAAGCAGTCTCTAATTCTGGATTGCCTGCCCTTGGCTGAAATACAAGGGTGCAGACCGGTTTGCAGTGGCTTGGCTGACATTGCCTCTTTGTCCTGTTCTCTGTTTTTCTTTTGACATTTCATAGCTCTCCTTAGTTACTCTGCCTGGATAGAAAGGTGACCACTAAGTGCAGGTTTAAGCACTAAACTGCAGCCAGTTCTGTCACCACCAGTTAAAGACCACCAAGCTTATTTGTCCGTCTGCATGATTTCTCGGGGACATTAACTCATGAGGGCGCTTTAGATTTCAACATCACATAGTTGAAGCTGGAAGTTAAATTATATGTAGAGTGAGAAGGCAGTTCCAGTGTTAGCACAGATTTATGTATTCAGATTTTAATAGAGATTCAAAAATGACCATTTTTATGAATAACTTTAAATTTGTTTTCATTGGGCTAGCATGGATTAATAACCACCATTTTATACCAGTATCATCAGTGGGAATTGTATTTCAAGATTCAAACAATAACCAGCAAATAAACTTTTTTTCTACAATTTATTTGTTTGCGAATGGGACTTGGGAATCATTGGGGAAAAATAATGGTAAATTTTCCTCTTCATTAGCAAATTCAGATTCATTATAAACATTGCCATCAGACGTAGTAGCTTGTGCCTGTAATCCCAGCACTTTGGGAGGCTGAGGCAGGAGGACTACTTAATACCAGGGGTTGGAGACCAGCTGGGCAACACGATGAGAGCCCCTCTCTACAAAAAATTTTTAAAATGAGGCCGGGGACAGTGACTCACGCCTGTAATTCCAGCACTCTGGGAGGCCGGGGCAGGCAGATCACAGGTCAAGAAATTGAGACCATGCTGGCCAACATGCTGAAACCCTGTCTCTACTGAAAATAAGAGATGGATGTGGTGGCGAATGCCTGTAGTCCCAGCTGCTCAGGAGGCTGAGGCAGGAGAAACGCTTGAATCCGTTAGGCGGAGGTTGCAGTGAGCCAAGATTGTGCCACTGCACTCCAGCCTGGGCAA